GGATTCTGGAAGGGGAGAGGTAAAATGACATTCTGAAACTGCTTTTTCCCTTGGAGTATTGATGATTCCTGGTGTAAGGCAAGAAATTAAAAAGTATGGGCAAAGGACACACTGCTAAGACAAAAATTGTAGACAGAAAGATTTAGGATACAACTGACAAAGGCAAGCTTGAAAACAGAGCATGATACACAGTTGGGAGTTTTTACACACACACACACACACACACACACACACACACACACACACACACCCTGACAAAGGCAAGCATGAAAACAGATCATGATACATACACAGTGGGGTGTTTTACACATACACACATACACACATACACACACACAAACAACCTGACAAAGGCAAGCTTGAAAATAGAGCATGATACACAGTTGGGTGTTTTATATACACATACACACATGCACACACACACCCCAAATTCTGAACTTATACAGAATAGAACAAAGTTTATACAGAAAGTTTCTGAAAAAAAGCAAGAAGCTTCTGAAAAGCACAGTAAAGTTTTTGAAAGTTTCAAAATGCTAAGGAGACTGTGATTAGAGATCAGAACGTGCCAGGCATAGGAACCCCACTGAACACCCCAGAAACCCAGTTGGAACCCTTAGAGCAGTGGTTCTCAAACATTAGTATACATTACAATCAACTAGAGGGCTTCGTAAAACACAAACTCCATCTTCCGAGTTTAAGCAATTCTCCTGCCTCAGCCTCCCAAGCAGCTGGGATTACAGGTGCATGCCCCATCTCTTTTAATGTCTGGCTTAAAAGAAAATACCCTGATACGTGTATCAACCTCTTCACTCATTCTGTGATATGTTGTTTTGTTTAAATGTATGAAGAAAATAAGACTTCACACAAATGGGTAGCTGGGAAAGGAAAGAGTATTTTATTCATCTTTTCAGATATTCTTCATTGCTGCGAACTCAAAACTCAACAAGTGGTAGTTTCTTAAAGATCAGTTGTATTGTAGAACCTGAAACCATGCCAATGAACTTTCAAAGTCTGTTACATTAATATCTGTTGGTCTTTTACTTTGAATTATTATTATTATTATTTTGCTATCTATGATTTTGTAACATAATTCATTGGTCATTTGGGAAATACAGCTTCACTGAGAGTTATATAGCATTCAAATGTTGATGTATTACATTATATCAGCATTTCTAAAGATGTGGTCCCTACACTGTCAGCAGCTTCCTGTGGGCTTTTGTTAGAAATGCAAACTCCTGGGTTCCACCCTAGACATACTTAATCAGAAAACCTGGGGTTGGGGCTCAGCAGTTTGTGTAGGAAGTAGCATTGATTAGATCAGTGCCTCTCAAAATACGGCAAAGGAGTATTTTTAAATTTTAAAAAAATTTCCAATCTGTAGTGGACCAATACTTATACATAGCACAAAAGTATCACACATTTGATTATCATGGTGATGTTATAAAACTTTCTAAATGTTCACTTTTGATTCCTGTTTTTAACTTGCACAAACTGGCCTGGCAAGAACAGGCAAAATACACATTGATTAAGACTGCATTGGATAGCCTTTCAGAAATCTCTGAGCAATCTGTCCTCTCCCCTTCTACGTATTACTGTAAAACTACTGATTTCATAACCACCAACCTCTTTCTTCATCAATTTAAGAAAAGCAGTAATCTAAAAGATATTAGCCCTGAAAGCATTAGATCAAGGACCTAAGATGGTTTTACTGTATTAATTTTTTTTTTTTTTTTTTTTTTTGAGACGGAGTTTCGCTCTTGTTACCCAGGCTGGAGTGCAATGGCGCGATCTCGGCTCACCGCAACCTCTGCCTCCTGGGTTCAAGCAATTCTCCTGCCTCAGCCTCCTGAGTAGCTGGGATTACAGGCACGCGTCACCATGCCCAGCTACTTTTTTGTGTTTTTAGTAGAGATGGGGTTTCACCATGTTGACCAGGATGGTCTCGATCTCTCGACCTCGTGATCCACCCGCCTCGGCCTCCCAAAGTGCTGGGATTACAGGCTTGAGCCACCGCGCCCGGCTTACTGTATTAATTTTTTATCTCACTACATTGAAAAAGCAAAATTTCCTTTTTACCAAAATACATCTAAATGCTCATTTTAAACTAATCACAAAAAATTTATTTTCAGCCATTTCCCACACCAATTTTCTGGTGTCACTTTCTTTGCACAGCTGATAATGAAATATGTAACAAATTATAGTTGGTCCAACATTTGAGATTACAAATTTGTTCTATCAGCTGGTAGCAAAACCAACAGAAAAGTTACTTGGGTGTGGGGTGGGGTGAGGAAACATATTCATAAATTCAGAAGCACTGGAAATGAGATTTAAGTATTTCCAGCTACCAACAATACCCAGTGGTGACCTGGCCAAAGTAAATATGCTGAAAGATTCTAAAAAGAAGAAACAAAATTAAAAGCTGCCCATTCTCATACTTCCCCAAATACTCTTGGATTTCTCTTTCCAAAGGCAGTGAGGCATTTTTGTTTAAAATCTTTTATCTTCCCATTGAAAACAAAACAACTTTCCTCCTCAAAGATAATCTTCCGATGCATAAGCTACCATCTCCAACTCCATCAAAATCAGAGGTTCCAACATTCCTTAATTGGAGTTCTTAACTGTAAGTATACAGATGGGTTTTAGGAAGCACATGAACTTTCTAAAACTCCAAGTGTTTTTAAACTTTGGGTGAATGAGCAGTTATATGGAAAAAAAAAAAAAGTCCACAGTTGTCAATATATTCTTAGAGAGTACAATAATCCAAAAAAATTAAAAGCATCTTTCTTTTTTTTTTTTTTTTTGAGACGGAGTTTCGCTCTTGTTACCCACGCTGGAGTGCAATGGCGCGATCTTGGCTCACCGCAACCTTCGCCTCCTGGGTTCAAACAATTCTCTTGCCTCAGCCTCCTGAGTAGCTGGGATTACAGGCACGTGCCACCATGCCCAGCTAATTTTTTGTATTTTTAGTAGAGACGGAGTTTCACCATGTTGACCAGGATGGTCTCGATCTCTTGACCTCGTGATCCACCTGCCTCAGCCTCCCAAAAGTGCTGGGATTACAGGCTTGAGCCACTGCGCCCGGCAAAAGCATCTTTCTTAAATTAAAAATGTGATCTGGGCCGGGCACAGTGGCTTGCCCCTGTAATCCTATCACTTTGGGAGGCTGAGGTGGGCAGATCATGAAGTCAGGAGTTTAAGACCAGCCTGACCAACATGGCGAATGAAACCCTGTCTCTACTGAAAATACAAAAATTAGCCAGGTATGCTTGTGTGCACCCATAATCCCTGCTACTTGGGAAGCTAAGGCAGGAGAATCGCTTGAACCCAAGGGGCAGAGGTTGCAGGGAGCTGAAATCGTACCACTGCACTCTAGCCTGGGTGACAGAGTGAGTGAGACTCAGTCTCAAAAAAAGGAAAAAGAAAAAAGAATGTGATCTGAACAGAGACATAAGGTGCAGCCTTTACATTATTGAATAGGTATTAAAGGTTATTAAATCATGTAAACAAAAAGGACTTTAGAAATAAATCCCTTCATTTTGTAAATAATAAGCTCATATTTGGAGAGGTTAAAAGAATGTTCAAGGCCGCCATGCTGGCTGGAAGGTAGAAGCCAGAGAAACATGCTGACCCCTTGCTCCTAAGTCCATTCTTTCACACCCAGCTACCCACACAGGGCCAGACCGAAGGTATTAGTAAGCCCACTAAAGTGAACAATCTCACTTCGAATAAATATACCATCTCAGAATAAATCAAGTAATTCCTTAAACACTACTGGCTTGTAAGAGAGACAAACATTTTCTTTTTTTACTACAACTGTCTAAAAATACATATTGTTAGATACATTTTAGAACTTGCTTCCTTGCCAGCAGGCACAATCAACAACTTGTCAGTCATCTGAAAGACAGACAGAGTGCTTGACCCTACTGCAATCAATCAGAGAAGGGTATTCACTTGACCTGGAAGGAATAGGACTGTTTAGGAAACAGAGGGCTTTAAGGAGGCACTTCAACACATTTCTTTCTCCGCCAATTACTCCAAAAGCCCACAATGCAAAGTAAATTAGCTGAGTGAATCTTTCAGTAACTGTTGAAACTGTTTAGAAATTTTCAGCAAAACCTCTTTTCAAAGTTTATTCTCATGTTTATTCATGCTAAAGAACAGTAAGTGCAAAAAGCAACAGAGATGATGCTCAACGAAAAGAATTTTTATAGTAAGTAATTAAGTGAGAAAGCCGAAAAAGAATGCCTTATTTTGGTGTTGGTTAGGATGGAGAGGAATCCAAAATTTGTTTTTAATTTTTTTTGAATAATTAGAAAACTGAAAGTCTGTAAATAAGAATCCAAGAAACCCTTCACTCTCCTACCTCCCCTCCTTTGACTTCTGAAATACAGTGTAACTTTCTACCATCTGTTATTTCAAAGCAGAAACAGCAATGAACATATGGGCTTTCTCTCTCAAGCAGCTGTAGTGTAGTTAAAGTTATAATAATTGTCTTTCTGTAAGATAAATTTACATTGAAAACCTGGCCAGTTAAAAACAAATGGCTCAGCCTCACCGTCCTCCAGAATAAAATTAAGAAATTCAGAATCATCTATGACATACTACATTCAGAGATTTGGAGGAAATCCTCTAACACTCGTGGTTTTACATCTAAGGTTAAATAAATATAATCTGTGATATCCAAATCAATTTATACAACCAAAGAGTCCAGAACTCATATTTTTTATTTTTCTTGATCAAAATAGTAGGTACATCAAATGGGTTCAGGAAGTCATATATCAAAACCAGCAACTAAGTTCTTGAAAGTATATAATATAAATCCACTATTTGTGTGAATCACTCAACTTTAACCTAAATGCTATTTATGAGAAAAAATATCACAATACATGTGGCACACAAACTTCCATCTCAACTACATATCATTTATAATGACTTTAATTTGAAAGAAATCCATAGTATATTTTGATACACATATTATAAAAAATAAGAATTCTGCCTACCTTTATCTGGGTGATTCAAAATCATGATTCTCCTATAAGCTGCTCTAATCCTAGCCTTGCCAGCAGATGGGCTGTAAAAAGAAATCAAAGTGCTTACAATAAATAGCGCCAAATGCAGATTATAAATTAATGGTTTATATGGGTTTCAAGAAATTAAAACCTAATGAGAATTTCACCATCTTGTGGACAAATACGAAATTACAGCTTTCCACTTAATTCCACTAACCATCAAAATAAATCATTGATTCAATGTTACATGTGTTTTTCTTCAGTCCTTTGTAATATCAGTCCTTATTCTCAATTCATTTAAAAAACAAAACGATATATAGGTTAGGGGAGTCAGAGTCTGCAGACAATACTGTAAGTTTGAAAACGTATGCTTTTAAGTTATTTTGGGGGAAGGCAGTAAATATAGTGTAGCAGGCAAGTATTTGGATTCCAGAGGGACACTGCTGGACTTTTTTTTTTTTCCATGAAGGTCTTACTCTGTCACCCAGGCTGGAGTGCAGTACCACGACCTCTGCTCACTGCAACCTGTGCCTCCCAGGTTTAAGCGATTATCCTGCCTCAGCCCCCCTGAGTAGCTGGGATTATAGGTGTGCACCAACACACCAAGCTAATTTTTGTATTTTAGTAGAGACGGGGTTTCATCATGCTGTCCAGGCTGGTCTTAAGCTCCTGACCTCATGATCTGTCTCCCTCAGCCTCCCAAAGTGCTAGGATTACAGGTGTGAGTCACTGCGCCCAGCCCACTGCTGGATTTTAATCCCAGCATCAGATTGGGTGAGCTTGATCAAATTTTCTTTCTCTTGGTGCTTCAGTTTCCTCATTGTAAAACAGGGCTAGAGCAACTATAAGGATTAAATGAGTTAATGCCTACAAAGTGCTAGAACAATACCTGGAATGTAGCAAATGCTTTAATATCTTTTATCTTTACAGAGCATCTCAAAACTCTTTATATCTCATAGTTATTTAGCTCTGAGAAAAAAACCCATGGGAAAAGCTTGGCTGTAAGCCTATGCTGTAAACAAAAATTAAAGTAGATAATTTTTTTTTTTTTTTTGAGACCAGGTCTTGCTCTGTCTCCAGGCTGGAGTGCAGTGATGTGATCTCGGCTCACTGCAACCTCTGCCTCCCAGATCCAAGCAATCCTCCTGCCTCAGCCTCCCGAGTAGCTGGGACTACAGGCACGTGCCACCATGCTCAGCTAATTTTTGTATATTTAGTAGAGATGGGGTTTCACCATGTTGGCCAGGATGGTCTCGATCTCTTGACCTTGTGATCTGGCTGCCTCAGCCTCCCAAAGTGCTAGGATTACAGACGTGAGCCACCATGCCTAGCCGTTCTCCTAAAATTATTTGGGTAAAACCTAATTTATCCAGTATTGGAAATGTTGCTTATGAGTAAATTTTCTAGGCAAGGAAAAAAAATAACACTAACAACAACAATATCTACTGCTACTTAATGGCTATACTATCTTGTTTAAGCTACTTAACTTTTCTGAGTCTCAAATGGGGATAATAATGGTTGACTTAAAGCACAGGGTAGTTGCTATGAAGCTCACAGTAATTTAATTTGCATGGATGAACCACAATGTAATAGCTAAAAGCATGTACTTTTAGAGTTAGTCAGAAATAGGTTCAAAGTCCTGATTCCACTACTCATTAGCTGTGAAAGTTTGCCCTGCTTAAACTCAGTTACAATTTTCTCATATGTAACATACAGGTAATAAAATCTACCTCCCAGATTTATTTAAATTAGATAATATAGGTAAAAAGATTAATATAACCTAGCATACATGAATATAAAGGATGCTTATGAGAATGTATTAGAGATACTCCCTGCTTTCTAAAAATAAAGTGCAAATAACTTAATTTAACATTTCTTGAATGGCTCAGAGCATTGTCATCATTATCATTTAAACTCTCAAGGTCTGGTAATGTTTGCCTGTCCTCCTGCTAAATGGACCTAGAATGTTATTCATTTAAGTTCTATTTTGAACAGTGCCTCCCCCTTGCTATCAGCTGTCAATCCTTGATTCTGCTATTGTTCTAGTCTTGGGCAGTTCCTTGCCAGTTACTTGCTACCTCTAATCTGTGGGTAAATGACAGCTCACCAAGCACGTTCAAATGCACTATTAATTGCTAAGTAAGCACATAAAATATTCTATCATGAGTAAAATGAATCAAATCTTTTCCTATAAGGACCTAAGGGTATTCCTTTTGGCTGTTTACCTAAGTCTTTGAGGCAGCATTCTGAACTTGCTTTTTGGCTTGTAGGTAACCCCCAAAGAGAAATTAAACATTGTCTGGTTAAAAGACTACTAAATTTTGAGAAAGCAATTGTTAAACATCATACCAGAGGCATGAACACTATACTGTTTAATTGCCTATTAAGAAATAAAAAACCTATTACTTTGAAAAATTCCAGTATAATGGTTTCGAATTCTTTGGCTAATCTACATTTATCACCTCCTCTATAGAGGTGCTCTGTGGAGCATCTTGCCTTTGTTAGTCATGTTTTCTAGCTGTTCTGTGTGTATTTGGCACGTTGCCTTAAGTAGATTCTAAATAACTTTAGGGCTGAAGCTATGATTTGTATCTTAAAATAGAATTTAGAATGTATATAATATAGGTGGCTTAATGTATTTGATATAACTCTCCAAAAATGACTGTAAAATGGAAAACAACTTAAAAGAACAAATACTCCATATTAGTAAATACTGATATTACAAAGATTATGCAAAGAATTTATTTCATAAAGCTCATCACCAATGTGGCCCTTAATGAAGATCAAAGTTCAGTAAAATCCAAATTTCATACACACACACACACACACACATATTTATATATCTGTGTGTGTGTATATGTGTATATATGTGTCAATGTTCTTCTGAACCATTGTATATTTTTTAGAAGATAAATGGCAAGGTCCATTTTATTCTAGATATTAAGTTTTAGTTGAGTACATAAAACCGAATCTGAAAATTAGTCAAAATTATCCTTGATAATCAATTACGCTATAAAAATCAGTCCACGTGGTTTTGTATATAAAACACCATAAGCACACTGAGGTCCACCAACCACTGAACTAAAGTAAACACAAGGAAGGAATGTACATATGTGCAAACATGGCATTCAAAACACTCTGCCTTTAAGATAATAATTATCAAGACTCCTAATGGTGAACTCTGCAAATGAGACGTATTCTGCTTTGCTGGCAGTGTTCACTCCCTTTTAGTTATTGTTATATTAAGTCTCTTAAACCTTAATACATTTTAATATTAATATATGTTTGTGCTGTAAAGATTAAACAACATGAGAGAAGTCTAGTATTTAAGTTCAGTATAAAAATTAAATGTGAGGCCGGGCGCGGTGGCTCAAGCCTGTAATCCCAGCACTTTGGGAGGCCGAGGCGGGTGGATCACGAGGTCGAGAGATCGAGACTATCCTGGTCAACATGGTGAAACCCCGTCTCTACTAAAAATACAAAAAATTAGCTGGGCATGGTGGCGCATGCCTGTAATCCCAGCTACTCAGGAGGCTGAGGCAGGAGAATTGCCTGAACCCAGGAGGCGGAGGTTGCGGTGAGCCGAGATCGCGCCATTGCACTCCAGCCTGGGTAACAAGAGCGAAACTCCGTCTCAAAAAAAAAAAAAAAAAAAAATTAAATGTGGCTATGATGATATACCTCCAGTATATACAACTTTACTATGAAACTGAAAATATAACTTTAAACATGATGTTACCCAGACCAGATATTTCAAATGGCTCCCTAGAATGCATCTGGCTGGCAGTAGGGGTGTGTGGAACTGAGTGGTGTTCTTGGACCTTCCGGCAAATGCGGCAGTTTTGGTTTCATCTTTTTTTTTACTACTGAGCTTTTGAGTAACATATAGTGATACAGTTTGGCTGTGTCCCCACCCAAATTGCATCTTGAATTGTAGCTCCATAATCACTGTGTGTCATGGGAGGGGAGCCAGTGGGCAGTAACTGATTGATGGGGGTGGGTTTTTCCCATGCTGTTCTCATCATAGTGACTAAGTCTTATGAGATCTGATGGTTTTATAAAGGGCAATCCGCCTACACATGCTCTCTTGCCTGCTGCCACTGTGTAAGATGTGCCTTTGCTCCTCCTTTGCCTTCTGCCATGATTGAGGCCTCCCCAGCCATGTGGAACTGTGAGTCCATTAAACCTCTTTTTCCTTATAAATTACCCAGTCTTGGGTATTTATTCATGGCAGTGTGAGAATGAACTAATACATATAGTTTATAAACAGAGTTCCACAAAAGTTTTTAGAAAGCTTAAAAATCACAAACGTGCATCATTTCAGACAATACAGTAAGTATTCAATGTTGCTGACAGTTCTTTAAAAAACTGTGATTTTAAGCAAAATGATGTATGGCAGGTCCTTGAATAATGTCATTTCCTTTAACATCCTTTCTTTATAACACTGATGAAAATAACTGGCTTCATTATAGTTATAGTCATAGTTTACAAGAACCCATGGGTGATATTAAGTGAGGACTTACTGTACCAGGTATAAAAACAATTTTCCTGGGCAGCTTTGTAAAATAATTCAGGCTTTTTGTTATAGACATGAGGTATAGTGCAGGACACCATTCTTTTGCAAGGAAAAACATAAGGCAAAGACTCAAATATGCATTTCAATAAGCAATTCTCATTCTATGCAATATGTCAGAATGTATAGAATCATCTAGCACACACAGAGTATTTTAAAAATAAGTTATCAAAAGGATCAGGTCCATTTTGTCTTCATCTACCTGTTATATGGTCTACATAGTAAATATTCAAAGATCACAGGAACCATAGCCATGTACTCATATCTTAAATTATCTTGTCATAATTAAAATTGCCTGACTGAAAGAAAGGGCTAGAGGAAAGCAGGTAAGTTTTATTTACCTTTCCATTTAATGTGTTGGGGCAAATATCTAGCTTCTGCATTCATGACAGACATGGAAAGAAACAAGAGCCAAAATTTTTTCAGAACCTGATATTTGGTAGGTATTATATAAAAAGGTATTAACATATCATTCTTATGTTATTCTAACAAGGCAGAATATTATTAATCTCAATTCAAAAATGAAGAAGCGAAAGTATAGAACAGCTAAAAACAAACAAAACAAAAAAACAAAAAATAATTAGATCGTGGGCTTTCCAGGAACGTGGATGGAACTGGAGGTTATTATCCTCAGCATACTAATGCAGAAACAGAAAACCAAATATCACATGTTCTTACTTATATGTGGGAGCTAAATAGACACAAAGAGGGGAACAACAGACACAGGCCTACCTGATGGTGGAGGGTAGGATGTGAGAGAAGGCAGAAAAAATAACTGTTGGGTACTCTTTCAGTACCTGGCTTAGTACCCGGGCAACAAAATAATCCGTACAACAAACCCCTGTGACAGAAGTTTATCTTTATAATAAACCTGCACATATAACCCTGAACCTAAAAGTTTAAAAAAGAAAAAACAAACTTCTAAAAAAAGAAGTTCACATGTTACATAATTTAATCTTCATGGCATCTTATGCAGTTAAAGCTAATCTATTATCTGTATTTTACAGATGATAAAACTGGGGTCACCCATTTGGTAGGTAGTAAACTGGTATTTGTACCCAGATACTTGACCAGAGTCTGTGCTCTTAATCACTACATTTTCCAAGTGAATTTTATACAGCTTTCAGTTCTATGGGATAAAACTTTATAAACATATTATCTTAAGAGAATGTCAAAATGTAGTCAACTCCTGTCTGTCCTAACAACATAAGTGTCCTGCATAATATTAAAGGATATCCTCTTTGTATTTGGTTTTCTAATGTGTTTCATACTCAGATTTCAAGATCACCAACAAGGTATTTTGGGAGGCCAATAAAACTTCAGGAAAAATAACAATGCCATTCTGGATAATTTTAAGCAAGGAATAGTTAGCAGTATAGCTAACTTCCTAATCTAACTCTCATGCTTAAAATCATTTCCTATTTTCCGTTGTCTGAAAAGGAGAGATCTCATCTCTTCTTAGATTTAAATAAAGCACCAAGCTAAACTGAGCTCCTCCTCCTGTTTTGTTTTTCCTGCCAGATCATAAAAGAGAAAAAAATGTAGGCTGGGCATGGTGGATCATGCCTGTAATCCCAGCACTTTGAGAGGCTGAGGTGGGTGGATCACCTGAGGTCAGGAGTTCAAGACCAGACTGGCCAACATGGTGAAACCCCATCTCTAAAAAAAAAATCTGATTTACAAGATATCAAATTTTTTTTTTTTTTTTTTTTTTTTTTTTTTGCCAATATAGGACTTTACTATCTAATTTGCTTAATTGCGTTGATTATATCATCAGAAGATTTGCTGTACATGACATACTGTAACCAATTCCCACAAAAATTTGAGAGTGGGCTCTAAGGGAACATATGGTAAACAAATGAATACAACTGTTGGTAAATCTATCATAGGGGAAAATACTATTAACAGTAAATGTTTTATGACATCACACAGCAATCACATAATATCATTAATTTTGTCCCATACTGTCCAAAAAGACAACAAATGGATACTAAGGTGAAAAAAGCACAATAAAATATGCTTGATGTCACACTGCAGAAGCAGAAAAAAACTATGAAACATATCCTGCATTATAATTAAAAATATTAGACATATCAAATTATAAAACTGAGTCCAGAGAGAATTCAGTGTCACAAAAAAGGATACTTTGGTTGACTGAAACATTAGTATTCAACTATTATAGATCCTTGCTAAATAAAGATACTTCACAATTTTGCCTTTTTTTTTTTTTAAGGGGAGTGGGATTCTTTTAGACTTGAGGCTTTAAAATGGAAAAATTGGGTATTTTCTCCTCTGCCTCCTACTCATAATTTTAAATGTAAGTATAACCTTACTGTAGCGTTTTCTCTTTTTTAAAGACAAGCTTGGCCACAGAACAAAATAATACTTACACTGCACACTTACCTTACATCTAAAATAAGACTAGCTTCTCGCCTACTCATTTTCTGTTGAAATCCTCCTTTATAGTAGGATGAAAGCCTCTGTATAGAGAAGAAAAGAGCAAGAAATCATTAGTTCCATGCATGAGGTGGCATAACCTCAATCTCATCACACAGCTGCAGTTAGAGTAATGCATTTTACTAGAAGTCAACTCAAAATTATGGGGCGGGGGGAAGGACCAACCAAACAATGAAACTTTTCAGGAAACGTTGACCAACATGAAGACTTAAAAAATGTTAACTTCTTTTTCACTTTCAAACGTTAATTTTTCTATACCAAGATATAACAGAAGGAACAAAAGAAATTGGTAGAAGCAAAATGCTTGAACTTTTTCTAAGCTCGTAGTACTTTTCTCATTGGATAACCTTGATCAAGTCATTTAATGTTAATATGGCAGATATGGTTTCCCTATCACACTAGCCAACAGAGAATGGGGAGGAACTGATGAAGTGGTGACTATGTCACAGTGGCAGACAGGCAAGCCAAGAGAGGCTGGGAAGCTGGACTGAAAAGTTTCAATGCTGCTGGAGAGGAATGAAGAAGAGGAGGATTCGAGATGTAATGGGGGCCAGATTGTGGGAAGGCCTTGTAAACAATGGAAAGAAATTAGGATTTTAAGTGAGAAGAGAAGCCAGAGCACTGGAATAACACAATCTAACTTTGATTTAATCTAACTGCCATGTAGAGAAGAGAAAGGTGCAAGGGTAGAAGCAGCAGACCAGTTAAGAAAACATAACCATAATCCAGAAAACAGACGATGATGGTATAACTAAGGTGGTAGCAGAGGGGTGATAAAAACGGTCAGATTCTGGATTTATATTTAAAACAGAACTAACACTTGCTTGATGGATTGAATTTGGGATATGAGAAAAAAAGGAATTAAAGAATGATGCTGAGGACACTGTTATGTGCTCACTAGATCTCCCATCAGGAGTGAAGGACTTACTCCCCAGACACTAGGGCTGTGGCTGGCTGATAGCTCCCAGCTGTCAGACACTTTAGGAATCCTTGCCTAAAGACACTCAAGCTCAACCCACTTTGTGGGCAGCCTGTATCTACTGAGACTGGCTGACATGGGAAAGAAACATTGTAGTTCTCTAGGGTTCAGTCCTTGGACTTACCTATACTCACTTCCCAGGTAACGTCATTTAATCTCATGACCCCTTGCCCCAACTTGGGATAACTACAATAAGTCATCCTTGTTTAGAGGTCTTTGTGAGATTGGCAGAGGCTTTTGTTAGGACTGCACCGAAGACTAATTTGTCCTTCTATCCTTCTTTCCCTTTCTTTCTGGAGTTTTTTATGCTAAGAGTACTCCCGAAGAAAAGTACAGCTTTCTTGTCTTTGTAACACTCTGATTTCCACAGAACCCAAGCTGTGCAAATGACCTCAAGGTTTCTGGCCTAAACTGCCAAACTGCCATTTAATGACTTAGGAAAGAAGCAGTTGTTTATTCGCTGTGGGTGATAGACATGAGGAGAATGATTTGGTATATATTAAGTTTGAAATGTCTTAAATATCCACGTGGAGAACGTCTGACTTAACATTAGACTTAACATTTGAGAGTCATTAGTGTACAGATAGCATTTATAGCCATGAGACTAATGAGAGTTTAAAAGTAGAAGTCCAAGGACTGTACTCTAAAAACTGCAACATTTAGGGATATAGAAATGGAGAGGAATCAGTAAAGGAGGCTGAGAAGGCCTAGCAGTAAGGGAGGAAGAAACTACAAGTCAAGAGTGAGGAAATGAAAAATGGTTTCAAAGTTTCTGATCAGTAATAAAATGAGAGCCAAGAACTAACCTCTGGATTTAGCAGAGGACACCAAAAACTAAGAGTTGCAGAAGGTGAGCTAGCATATGATTAGAGTGTGTTTAAGACAGAATAGGAAGAAAAGGATGGAGACAGCAAGTAAAGACACTATTTACAGTAGCTCTAAACAGAGAGACAGGATGTACAAACTCAGCTTTTAGGAGGAAACATATGCATATATGATTACAAGCATATATGTTTCTAAGCATGAAACCATTTCAGAAAAATATGTATGCTTACATAAAATAAAATCTAAAAGCATATAAATAACTTTAATTTTTAGCTGGTAGGATTACAACTTTTTTTTTTTTTAAACTTCTAAATTTTCAACAGTGAACCCATGTTATTTATACAACTAAAGAAAAAGAAGAATACTATAAGAAACCAAGGAAATAACTAGAGCTTAAAAAAATGAGTTCCAGACAGTCAGATCTGGCCATTTATATAAGCTACAGTCTTTGAACAGCTTGTTATAAATTTCTACTTGGTAATAAATAATTTCTGGCAATTAATTCATTCAATAAACACTTCAGCAACTGCTATGTGCCAGGCAATTTTCAAATGAGAGACCAAGGACTGTCTGTCATCACATAGATGCTAATCTATCACTGAATCAATATTGTGAGAATACAGTGTACTATCCAAATTTCAAGTAATTTACAATCCAGTGAAAAAAACAAATAGTCCCCCACCCTGGATACAAGTTTTGAGGAGAGGAAGGATATCAAATTGGGTTAATTACACATACTAAACTGAACAAACTTTATATCTTTCTAAATGTACTACATAGAGAGTATGCCCATATATAAAGAGAGATATGGAGAGAAATTTAGATACAGATACGAATGGAAAGAATATGGGGAGTCAGGCATGGTGGCTCACGACTGTAACCCCATCAAGAGTTCAAGACCAGGTGAATCCCCGCCTCTACTAAAAATATAAAAATTAGCTGGGTGTGGTGATGCATGCCTGTAATCCCAGCTACTCTGGAGACTAAGGCAGGAGAATCGCTTGAACCTGGGAAGTAGAGGTTGCAGTGAGCCGAGACTATACTACTGCACTCCAGCCTGAAGCAAGATTCTGTCTCAAAAAAAAAATGTCCTAGTGCAGTGGTCCCAGCACTTTGAGAGGCCGAGGCGGGCAGATCACCTGAGGTCTAGAGTTCGAGACCAGCCTGATCAACATGGAGAAATCCCATCTCTACTAAAAGTATAAAAAAACTAGCTGGGTGTGGTGGCACATGCCTCTAATTCCAGCTACTCAGGAGGCTGAGGTAGGAGAATAGCTTGAACCCGGGAGGTGGAAGTTGTGGTGAGCCAAGGTTGCGCCACGGCAACAAGAGTGAAACTCCTTCTCAGTTAAAAAAAAACAAGAATGAGGGACTTACTTAGAGGAATAGCGCTGGTTTTAAGGTTTCTTTCAGGAAACCAAAATTTCTACTAGATGCATACTTTACCCCTAAATTAAAGGTAATTAGTTTCATCATAACAAAACAGAAGTATCACCTAATATTTGTTCTTTTGTTTTTAAATCATGCCTGGAACTAATGCATAGAGTAATTCTTTATTCAGAATAAAAATATTTCAATGAGTCTTTATTTACCTAAAATTTGGAACCAGCATAATAAAAAAGATAAACTCAGGATGTTTTATAAACTGTCATTCCCATTATAGTCAGAAAGCTCATTAACCTTAAAAGCAGGTATTGGTAACTGAGTGATTTTTAAATTTTCAGTTTTGCCCAGGTAGACACAGAGTCTCAGAAAAGGTTCCTTAAAATCTAGTGTCTGGAAGAAGTTCATGTGGACATTGAATTTATTATGAATAAGTCATTCTGTATGTACATATATATAAAATCAACACAACACTTCCAAAAGAACTGGACCATTTTGCAAACAGAAACTTACATTTGGGGCAGTGTGCAGAAAAGTATGCAAAGTGAAAACAAAAAATTGCCACATTACTCACTACTAAAATACACTCAGGCCTCAGCATCTGCAGGTGACTGGTTCTAGGACCACCCATACTAAAATCTGCACATATTCAGGTACCATAGTCAGCCCTACAGACACCACAGATACAAAAAGTTGGCCCTCAGTGTAGGTGGGTTTTGCATCCCATGAATACTACGTTGTTGATCTACGCTTGGTTGCAGACATGGAGGGCTCATTGAGTTTATTTTTTTAAATCATGATTAAGTGGACCTGTGCAGTTCAAACCCAGGTTGTTCAAGGGTCAACTGTATTTACACATTTCTTCAGAGAAAATCATGATTCCTAAACTTGTAGGAAATTTAGGTCTTATACAGCTTTAAATAGAACAAAACTGTTATCACAGTATTTTAATCTATTAATATGTTCGAATTAGTGTCCATGTCATGAGCAAGCACAAAATAGTAACTCTTTATTCCTCCCCAGTAATAAAGTATAATTGAAAGGCCCTTTTAAGCTTGAAAATAATATACCCATATTGTATTATATTAGGACTGACAGATAAGGTGGTACGGAACCATTTTCTGACCACACTGTAGTAGGTAAAAAAAAAAAAAAAAATGTTTAGATCTATAAAAATGAGATTACTCTAAGGAACAAGTATACCATCAAATGGATGGAATAAATTGTCCTATTTTTCTAAGAACAGGAACACATCCTGGACCTTACAAATGATTATTTTGTATTATTCCATTCGTAAAATATTGTATAAATAAACAACAGAAATCAGAATCACTTCCTTCTAAAATTGGCACTAAATGCTGTAGTGCCATGTTAGATCATTTTGCATCTCCTTTGCTAAGTTAAAACAAACTCCTCATTAGCTAATTCATTCACTCGATAGCTTGAAACGCAAAAGTCCTCCAATACATTTACCATAAGCTATAAACTTTATTATGTACAATAATCTATTTGATTTATAAAAACTAAAGGATGATTTTAATCAGTATTTTTCAATAATTTCACTTGACCATAAAACAAAAGAAATGCAACTTAAAAAAATTATATTTAAATAAAAAGACAGATTCACAAATAGAAAATTAAAAGCCTAAAAACAAAATAAATAAAAAGATGAATGATGGGTTTTCTCCTCCGGAAAAAAATGTAGAGTAATTAGACATTAGCTGAGTCAATAATATACATTAAAACAAAAACAAAAACAAACAAACAAAAACAAACAAGCAAAAGGGCACTGGTTCAAAAGAGCAGACTGAGTTATAAAGATCTTTTGCTTTCCAA